AAATTATTACATTGAAATAATAAATTGAGCTCTGAGCCAGCCAGAAGAGATTTTGGTAGAAAATATCCCACAAAACGAGATGGGAAATTTGTTGCTCGGAAGCGAGAGAGAAAAGTGAGAGAAACTGGAACAACACATCCGTACAGTGATTGAGTGTTCAATCTTCTCAGCAGTCAAACTTCTCGATCGGGTTGCCTACGTCTCCGTTTGTACGCTGCATTCGCACAAATATATGAATATAAATTATGTATTTTTCTTTTTTTATATTTCGCTTGCATGCCATCTATCAAAGTGCCACTCCACTTTGTAGCAAACGAGTGGCGGGGGAACGTGCGCAATTTTATCTATCCGCACGCATACCGACACGCGCTCTCTACATCATCACCCTTTATTCACAGCGCAGCTGTCAGTACCAAAGATTTTTTCCACGGCCCGCATATTTACATGTTGAGCGTGGAAAAAAGAATCGCGTCGACATTAGGGCGGCCTTTTTGTATGCGACAGCGAAATTTGCACGGATTAATCACAGAGCGAATGCAGTGCACGTTTAATTGAAATAAAAAATCCTGTCACCGCAAGGCTGCAACGCAACGTGACTAATTTTGCGGAGCCCAATTTTTTACTCGTCAACTCTCAAATTACAATACAGCAGCCGTTATTCTTCATGAAAAATCGCTCCCGGCAGCGCCGGCTAGCGCTTCCCAGGTGAAACAGAGAAGAGACTGACGCTCTTTTGCGAAGCCTTAATTTTATCACGGGTGCACAACACAAAAGCAGCACAAGTTTGCCGAGCCGCCTTTTGTGTAAAATTTAAGTAGTCTGCCGCTGCTGCTTCTCGCAAACTCTTATTTTTGGGCGAAAGGTGCGCACACTCTCATTAGGTAAATTGCGCCTGTGGCAAACGCTTTGTCAACCAAGATTCTCGTTTCCTCGACTTCTTCCTCCTCTTGTTAGCTTGCTCTGCGTGCTGATATCATATTATACACCACACACTTCGCATAGACAGACAATTTTCATCTTTGTCGTCTTCGTAGAAAACACAATTAACTTTTTCCATCCGCCCGGCAGCGGGATAAAGTTTCCATTTTCATTAATTTGTCAGAGTGGTGCATGCAGATCAGTCGGTGGGGTTAAAAGAAAAAGTGTGTTTTTATTTTTTTATAATTTTCATCCAGTGCGGTAATATCATTGAAATGCGTGCAAATAGGAAACAAAAGAATGTTTTGATTGTGCCGCTGCTCCTGCACTCCGGTTCACAGACGCGTGGCATTTATTCTACTTTGAAAGGATAATAAATAAAAACACTGTGCCTTTGTGCCCGCAAAAGTACAAAAGGAAGGCTTCCAACCTGACACAGTGCGCTGTTGTTTCCAGGCTTTAATATGCATTTCGGGCTTTGTTATGCAAACAAACGCGTCGGATTTTCGATTCGAGGGTGTAGCAGAATTTGAATCCGACACGATTTCTGTTTACATAATCAGATATGCAAATTAGACAAGGGTGAGAGGAGCGATACACAAATTAGGTCCAATGCCCAATTATGTATAGCTTCATTTGCTGATGGAATGGAAAGTTTAGTACAAGTTTTAACGAGAAAATTCAGTTTCACTATAATATTTAATTACAATTCAATCATTATTTTCATACGGGTCTTCCGCTTATTAAAAAAAAATCAAAATATTAATTATTTCATTCCCGTACATCAATTTAATGCCTACTGTTGAATTCAGTCGAGATAACTGAAAAAATCTACTCTAAATCTCCTATTCACTTATTTTAATCTATTCTTTGCTCCAAATTTTAAATTTCAAATATTTATTTTGCATAAATTCATACTTAAATGGTCATTATGATCAAAACAATCATTATCTAGTTTTTCATCACAAATCAGAAATAGCTTTGTCCGGATTAATCATCCGATTTCTAGCAACACGTTTTGCAATTTGTCGGAGAAAAAAGCGGCAGCAGCAGCAAAACGATTCAGAGCCGCAATTAGCTAATGCGTTTGCAATGATGCACGTCAGCGTGGTGGTCGGGGGCAGAAGAGAGAGAAAGAGCATTCCGACAGCGGAAACTCCTCTTCCATTTCGTGCCATATCATTGACCGACTTTTTGCACTGCTTTTTGCCAAACGCAGGCCATTAGTAACGGGCGGGCTGGCGGACGGGCGGAGAAAGAATACGGCGGCACATACATAGCAGATACGCTCGCTCCGTTTCCTGGCTGCTTCCTCTGCAATCGGCCTGCAGACATTACCACGTTTTGCGCGCGGAGATAAGAGCTCACAGGTAGATAGCGAGCAGCGTAATAAAAGGACGCATTCGCAGCCCGTCTCGCCTCCCCAGGCGGCAATTCAATGGAAAAGATTCCGGCTCATAATAATGCACGCCTTATCCTCTCTCACGTGCGTTTAGGCCATCCCCAATTATTATTGTGTGTGAATGTGCATCTCGGCAAATCCGTCTCTCTTTCACTCACCTAGGTGAGACGTCGTGCTTTGTTCAAATCAGGGCTCGGGGGAGCCATTAATGTGATTACCATTACCCCGTGTGTGCCACTCGGAGCTTCCTTCGTCTCTCTCTTTGAGCAGCGCGGTGCTGCACGGGGTAAGAGGATTTTCAATCTAGTGCACAAGTCTTGAATTTCCAATTTATCATGGCGTTATCACTGGCACCGTGCGTTCCCCCAGGGTGATGTTCTGCGAGACTCGCACGCTGCGGTGCAAATGTAAAAATGCGAAGCGCCTACCTTTGTTATCAGCAGTGGGATCCGTCTTGCTACATTTGGGACTTCGAAGTTCCACGGATAATTTATTAATCTGATAACCTTCAGCGTGATGGAGACAAAAAGTCTCTATGCGGATTTTAATTATTAATATATTCAAATAAAATCTCCAAAGATAAAATATCCAGATTATTAGATTAGGTAATTTTAATTACTGCACTAATTTGAAGCTCCTTTTTCTTGAGAATCCTTGGAATCATTACGAATTATTAGAACAATTGGTCATATTTTTTATTACCTGTATCTATCAATATTGCTTTTTTTTTAAATCTTTCTCTAACAATTTTAATTAATATACATTTTACTGAAGTTAGATTCAAAATTAAAATGGTAAACTCTATAATTAATGTGTCTTAATTTCTTGTTCATAATCTTTGTTTGCATGTGGCGGATAATTTATATAGCTTTTTAAGTAAATCTAAAACAAACAAAAATATTAAAAATAGATTTTATAAATTTATAAAATATAACTAAAAAAGTTAAAAACACATTGTTAAAATATATACAATAGGAAAGACAATCTGATTTTATTTTAACAATCTATTATTTTTAAGCTCAAATGCAAAAGTTAATTTTGTATTTTATTATTAGCTCTGAAATTAAAAAATGCAAGTTGCATTGAAAGTCAAAAATCACAAGTTTTATCATTATGAAACAAAAAGTTTTATATTTTACTTTCTCCAGCATAAATTTTTAATTGAATATATTAACGCTATTTAATTCACTCAAACTTAAATTTTACATCAGCAATTCTAAATTTTTCTACATTTAATCTCCACTATATACGCTTGTATTTTTTTTCTACAAAGGGTCGGCTTAGCTGGAAACTACAACCCAGGTTGCTTTTAAATGAGGGCGGAGGACCAGGTCTGACCCAAAAGGAAGAGCTTTGCTTTCATACGCACGCGGTTTAAGCCTGTTTTAATAGTTAAACAGTGACAGCAGGACATAAAATTGCTGCGCATCAACGTTATAGAGCTGCTACTCGGCCTTTTTGCAGCGCCGAAATTTTTGCGAAGCAGTAAAACTTTTACGACTCATCATGTACACACTTCTGCGTGGCAGAAATTTGGATTTTCAGCCGGCGAGTCATTAAAAATTAAGAGGCGGACCCGCCTAGGTGGCATTAATTAAATTAAAACGTGAAAAATGAAGTTTCCGCTGACTTCGGGCAATTACGCTATATTTCAATTTTCGGGTTAAATGAAGACTTCATTCTTGAAGAGCGATTTGCATTTTCGTCGCGAGTCCTTGGTGCAGAATAATTCCGTGCGACATCACTTTTCCACACGGATGCTGCCAAACTGGGCGAGGTGGAAAATATGCAAGCCATTGTGGAGTTTTTCCCTCCGCACATTTTTCGCCAGCGGGAAAGTCTGCGGGTGGGCGCGCAGACACTAAATTTAGCGATAGAGGTCTTCTTTTTTTCAAAAGCCAAAAAGCAGGGCGAGAGATATGGGGGTGTGCGAGCGTGGCAGAGAAATACTTTCTTATCTTCCTTTCTGCGTTATTGAAACTTTTCTAGCTTACATTTCTAGCAAACCTTCTCACTGACAGGCCCAATTTTCCACACTGTTGCATCTCAGAAGTCGCAATATTATTACAGAAAATTGCTATTTAAACGTTTACATCGTGAGTTGATAGCCAATGTAAGGATGGTATGGCGAATTTATGGAGGGAAATCTGTTGTGATTTATAAACATAAGCACGGCAAAAGCTCTCTTAAGCCCCTGCAGGCGTTTCGTTAGGCTACCTGCGTACCAGACGTGAGCAAATGTTTGCATACATACGGCTCCTATTTCATGGTTCGGAGCTAGCTCTGGTGTAGCTTCTATTTGAATGTGAAATGTTCTTGCCTTTTTAAACCGGGATGATACAGAGAGAACTGGATTTTTTGCCGGCGGTGCGAGATAAACAGAGATGTTTATTTTATTTTCGGATAGGAAAGGGGCCTTTTAGTGGTTTTAAGGAAAGTGAATCTAACGCCCGCAGCATGCACTACTTCACAAGCTATTCTTGGAATTGGAAAAATTCGGCTGTCATGTATTTATTCATAAAATAGGAGAAATATCATATCACTTTTAATACCGAGAACGTTTTCTCATTCGGGAACCTGACAAGCAAAACGTGAACGTGTCTCTTTCAATTCCAGTCCACGTCACTTTCAATCGTTTTCCTTTTGTGGTTTCTCATTTCCGCCTTTCTCTCTGTTCCAGATTTCGACATGTGCCACCACCTGAGTGCGTCTGAGCGGCACGCCTGGCGATGAGCAAATCGACAGTCATGAGAAAGTGGCGAGAGCGGGGCTTGCGGAAAGGATGCGAATTAGCCCTCGCCAATGTGGGTCTGTTGATTTTATTGATGGGCGCCGGGGCACGGACGCAGCAGCTGGCGCTGGAAGAACAGGCGGCTGGTGGGCAGCAGGCTGCTCCCAAGCCGCTTACCCTTATGTCAGGTGAGTGAAAAAGTAATAATATGCCAGAAGTTAATTAGCAGAAATGGAAAGAAAAGAAAGAAAGAGAAGTTTCTCATTTCCTTCTACGCAGTGAACTTAAAAAAGAAATGCAGAAAATAAAGTATGATTAGATTTTTGCAAAGGTGTATCGATTTATCAACTTTTGCTTGCAAAGATGGAATGAAATTTTAATAAGAAGCTTTACGCAAGCTTTGAACGTCAAAGGGAGAGAAATCTTTCAGTAGAACTTATGTTTTTTACTTTGACGAGTTTGATGAAATATTTTAAGCTTTCTGAAACTGATCTCAATATTTCCTTTTAGAATCCCATTAATTGCTCTGATAAAACACACTATAAAATAATAAAAATTCATTCATTTGCGTCTTAATGTTATGTTAAAATCATTAAGGATCATTTAAACGCACATAATAAACTTTTCATTGAGGATTCATTGAGTATTTTATGAAATAAAATTGTTCAATAAGATACGCAGAAAAGTTTTTAGGGCAATCCAATAACCACAATGCAAATGAATTGAAATCCATTACTTCTTTTCTTGTTGTTTTGTAGAGTTTTCATATATTGCTTTGAATCTGTAAAGTTTTGCATGGAATAAAATAGTTTATGAATGTTTGAAATTAAAATAATCTATTCTGTCACATCTAAAGTTAAGCTCTATAATTGTTCACGCCATGTTCATTTTTTTCAGTAGTCAATAGAAGAAAACTGTTCTCATGATATAAATTGATAACAATAATTATAATATTTTAAAATGAGTAAAATTGTATTTTTTTTTAATAGTTAGAAAAGCGCAATTTAAAAAAAAAATATGCTATTTGTTAACAAACAAAAATTAATAATAATAATGGAAAGAAAAAATTTTTTTTTTTCATTTTGGAGTTATGCGCACCTATTTAAAAGTGGATCTGTGTCTTTCCCATTAGCTGAATTGTTCTGCCTTATCTAAAATGACAACTTCTTTGTCAGCCAGCTGCGGGACAAATATTTTCATCACGATTCCATACGATGCAAATGATGAATCTGATGTTTTCTTCTATCTACTAATTTTGTTGATTTATTTGTAACAATAACGCAAAATGCAGAAAAAATAACCAATAACAAACAATGCAAATCATTTAAAATAACCGTCACTTCATTTATTGATATTTTCAACATTGTTGCCGATTGTTGCAGGTTTTTAGTGTTGTAACATAAATCTAATAGCTATGTCAAATCTTATGAAAAATTATGATCTTTTCCCTGCAATATTCAATAATCAAGTTTTTTTTAATGTAAAGAATTTTATACTGACCTTTTTTAAAATTATATTAAAAGAAATATGGATGGGAATTTGAATTAAAAAAAAAAAAATTGAAAGTTTTTATTTCAATTTTACTGGCAAGAATCCTAAATATTGAAAAAAAAGTACAAATTTTTGGCTTTGCAATAAATTTTTAAAATTTAACTTCCGATATTTTCAGAATATCAAAAGAATTATATGATATCAAGGAAACAAACAGAATTTATTATTTAAAAAAAAAGATAGGCTTTTGGAAAACACTGGTTTCGGCGGCGCCAGGACCGCTCGATGGAATGGTGCCGTCGCCTAATAAATAGTATATGGTATTTTGTTACTAATTCTAAAATTTCATCAAACAGTTTAATAACTAGGAATAAAATGCATTGCAACCAAGATATTAAACTTTTGAGAACCACGAGCAGCCGTGAAGTGAAAATAGGTCGTTATTTTCACAGCGTGCTGCAAGTGTAAAATGCAGATGAAATCTGCCGCTTGAGATCACCGGCGGCCCCGAGAATGCCATTTTCCAGGCAGCCTGCTCGTCGTCTCCGTTAATTCCATAATAGGGTCTTTCCTGTGCACAATGCCCTGGCGTGGCAATTGAGTCATAGCGTGCAGAAGCGCGGTGACATTGTTCCCACCACAATCTCGGGTTTGATCATCTTTCCATACCCCGGGTGGCGGCAATTGCAATTACGTTTTGGCACGGATCGATGATTCCAAATAAGTGACGGGCAGAACAAACACACAAGCTCATCACTCCGAGCGGACGAACATGAATTTTAACAAGGGAATTCAAGCGTGTTGTTCCATGCCAAACAGGAAAATTGTATACACAACTAGGAAATAAACGGAGAATATAAATCGACGACATTAAAATTCACCCAGATTGCAAATTAGATGATTTTGCCAAAAATTACAAAAAGCCGTTCCATCGAAATAGTTCCATAGCATTTGCTTCTATATGCAAATTAAGTTGTGTGATCTATTTTAAGAAGCGAATTGTCCAAATTGACCATCTCAATATGACCAAAATCACATTTTAAAATTGAGAACAATAAATCTGAAATTTTGCAACCGCCGCCATTGTGATTTCTTTTGGGTGCAATTTTGGCTTTGGATTGACGTAGAATTTTGAGCCGATACCAATGCACTATAAAAATAGCCTAAAAATGCCAATGTGTATTACAGTCTACAAAGTTTAAAAAAAATTAAAAAAAAAAATAGTAACTGATGCAACTTTGGATTAATTGCATAATATTTAGAGTAGGAAAAATATCTAGTCATTCCTCAATCCTCTTGAAAAACATACAGAGAATTATCAAAAATACTTATAATAACTTCCATATTGTAATTAATTTTGGAAAGTTGCAGTAATTTGTAATATTGAGTTTATTATGGCGTGATAATTAACAAGAAGGAATTATTGTTTCAGTTTCAACAAAAGATTATTTGTAATTTAAAATAATTAATAAAATTAATTATTTAATCAAAAAAATAAATATTTGAATTGAAAAAAAAATTGATGGTTCTTCTTTAAATAATTTACAGTGATTATCAGTAATGAAGTAAATTAAACAAGCAATTCATCTCTGACAAAAAAGTTTTCTCTGATTCCCGGTTCCAGTTTGTTAGTCGCGGGCAGTCTGGTGCATCCAAGTCGATTGCAGGCACCTGCTAGTTAGTTATGCAACTGTGCAATCCCGCCGACTCTTCTTCTCTCTCTGCCTTCTGACTTGATATAATTATAAGAGAGAAACGCGTCTGCTGCCAACTCTTTTATAAAGCCGGCTAGCTGAGGCGTCCACTTTTTTTGTGCAACCAGATACTTCCCTAGCACCCACTCACTAGTGCTGGAGGCAACAATAAAGTTTGTTAGCCGCTCTTTTGAAACACACTGACTGCTGAGCTGTTGGAAATCTGAGCCATTCTCTTGGTGTGTGACACCAGCTGAGAAAGCAGTAGAAATGCAACATTTCGCCGTGTCATGTCGTTTGATATGAGAGAAGAATACAATTAAAAAGCGTAAGACTCACTCGTCCTCGAGCCAACAAAGTCGTGATTTTATGTCGGAGGGTGTTTTTGCTCTCAGAGTGACGCAGAAAGGCCAAAAAATGCGGAAAAGAACTTGCTCCGGCACAGAGTTGAAAAGGGCTAGGTGAAAGGGGCAGAGGCTGCAATTAATTTCAAGACGACAGCGTGACACACACGAGTCCATTTTTCACCCTATCAAGTTAATTACGGTCCGACTGGCCAGGCCAAGATTTTTTCTACGATAGCGTTACGCTCTACCGCAAACAAATTGAAAGTTTTGGACGTACACAGTTCCGTTAGTACAATCAATTTTTTTTTCTTTGTAAAAATAAATCGTATTGAAAAAAAATTACTTGAGAAAAAAAAATCAGATTTTTGTCCGCAATATTTGAAAATATTATTTGTTCTGATTAAAAAATTCAAAACTTTCGGTTGTGAATCAATGAAGACATTAGATCGATTTTTTTCTGAGTCAAAAAATAAAATCGTTTGACTTTGAGAATTTATTTCACTTTTTGCTGCCAAGAGAGTAAGAAGAAGAGCAGCAGCTCTTGTGAGAATTCTTGACGCGACACATTAAATAATAATCCTGCGCAGAGGTCCCTTGAGGAATGCTTTTGGTTCTTCCAAGATCAAAGGTTTGGAGAGGAGTCATTGCTTCGGAACGCAGAGTCAGAGTTATTCCACCTCCAAATGTCCTGAATAAATGGAAGATGCAAGTGAAAACGCAAACCGCGGCATAAATAGTTTTTAAAGCAAAATTTTTGTATTACCTGCCTCCGATATTGGTACAACCTTTATTCAGACAGATTTAGTAAATCTGTTCTTTCTTTCAATTAGAGCGACAGCCAAAACGGAAATTTCGGCTTTTACTGCTGTTCAGTCATTCATTCATCATTGAAAAAACTCTTTGTGTCTTTCAGTAAAGACAGCTGATCGATTACCGATACAAACAAAACATTCGAAGGGGAACCAATTGAAAAACTTCTCTCTCTGCGGTTACCAAATAAAAGAGGGGAAGGAATAAAAATTTCGGCCTCCTATTGAAATTTGCAGCCAAAGTGAAAATCATGGCATGCACTTTGCGAGATTGACGAACTTTTATTTCCAAAAAGCGCAGGGAATTGAAAGTGCGCGGCGTTTTATCGGAGGCTGTGTGATGAATTGTCGTCGGTGGAGAGTGCGGGTCTGTTTCTGTCAATGACGTCTGCATGCTCGCCCCGCGGATTATTGTTCACCACATCCTATGGCTGGCCCAAAAACCATATATGCTGTATTTCACTTTTGGCGGGCTTAACCGTGAACATAAAGTGATACACACACGGGGGAGTGTGGCAGAGAAAACCACCGGCCGACGCACTGCAAATGCCATTTGTATCAATATGAATGGCTGCACTTGTGATAAAGACAAATGGCACTGGCGAAATGCTTGCTGATTGCATTGAATCCCCACAGTGTAGAATCTCCATTAAATCCTTTTGATGGAATGATTAAATCCTTTGACGGGGGGTTTTTTTTTTTAAATTAAAATTGTGGCAGATAAAAAAAGGTAATAATTATGCATTGAAATAGAAGAACATAAAAGTTAGAAGCGATAAACTCATTAGTTTTGTAACTTTGTACCAACCTTTTGTCGTGATTTTCAGCAGTTTCTGATGTACGTTTTCATTAATTAATTATCATCAATCATTTCTAAAATGTTTCATTTTTAGTACTTACATATTTTTGGAGTATACTTCGTAATCAAATGTTATGTTTCAATTAAACTAGCTTGAATTAAAATTAATTTAACTTGTATATTTATAGAGTTGTATATTTAAGTAGAATTGGTAAAACGGTTTTCATGGTTAACATTTTAAAATTATTTTAATTAATAAATTCTATTCTGACTACTTTTACATTTGCCGCTCTCTAATTGAAACGATTGAAACTAGATATTTCACATGTGGTGCGGGAACCTATCGTGAATAAACTTTTATAAATTCACTTACATAGGTTCGTCATGTATTGCGTGGTAAAGGCTGGTTGCTAATGGGAAAAAAATATATCCCTACTTTTCCCAGAGATCTCTAGTTCCGAGCCACACATGAATATCATTGCACGTTCGTGGTACACAGTCACTACATGCAAATACACCGTGTTTGAATTTTGAATTTATTATTCATGCGGAAAGTAAATAATTTATTTTATTATTTGTTGGCAAACGCGCGCAGTGCATAGAAGCGGGCAGAAATTTATCATTCATGCACGTGCACACAACTCAACAGCAGCTACCGACGAGAGTTTGCAAAAATAATCAATCGTGCCATGAACCGACAGACAATGAAGCTCTCTGTGATTGACCTCTTGTCCAACAACGCGCAAAGTTCATTATCAAACGCCAGACACCAATTCACTGCTGAGCGAACGCAGTATTTTAGCTTTTGATTATTTGTTTCCACGGATCAGTTATTGGATGAGCCATCAGAATACGAAATGACATTTTGTTTGGGAGCATCGAGGCCGATCCGAAACCAAATAAGCCCTGGAAAACTTCACCCACCAATAAAGTTGAACTCTGAACTGACTCTCAAATTTGCAGTTAAATTGAATGTCAAATAATTATATTAAAAAAACACTTACAACTTATTTGTTAATTATCTAAAGGGGTTTAAATTCGTAATAACGCAATTTTTTTATTGTTTGAAAAATCAACCTGTTTAATTTTCCTGCACGTATTCTTTTAAAAACTTCACCTATAAAATTTATTTTCAAAAACCCTGTATTGCTTCTATTGACAGCAACATTGGGGGGGGGGGGGGGCTGTTTTATATCTTTAGTTTTTGCCACTTTATTTAATTGTTATTTTTAATGTCGGTGAGAAGGTTCAAACTTATTTCATTGCCTTTCACCCTGCAACTAATTTTTATTAAAATTTTAATATTCCTTTGAATTAATTTGGTATTACTTTCTATTTGATAAAAATTTCAATTGGCAATAAACGTGTGACAAATTAACTTTGCATTATTAATGTTTTATTATCAATTTCGCTTCAAAGCTACGCTCATTTGCTAATTACAATTATTTCCAATTGGGAGAACTAAAAGGCAAATGACATGCCCAAACTCTGAACTTGTAATTACGAATACCAATGAAACGATAACTAGGGTAAACACATTCAATGTTACAAATTATTTGATTAGGCGCAGCACAGCAAACTGTGATGCATAAATCAAACCGCAGGGTGCTCGATTTCGCTTGTCACATAATTAATGTGTGGCGTTTTGCAGGTAACTCATCGCTGGCCGAGTGGCACAGCGTTGAGGTGGAATCGATGCTGTTGGCCAAGGGCAGTGCCGGCGCCACGACGGCCGCAGACGCCTCGTCAGAGGAGGTCTTTTCGACGAGTACTGCGGAGCCGGTGCGAATCACCCAGCCGCCGCTGAAAAGACCGTCATTCCTGGACCACGCTCATTTGCACCCGCCCGACGGCCAGCGGCGCTACGGACCTTATTTTGAGGACGGTCTCGGCCCATTCAACGTGACAGCGCGAGTGGGCTCGACTGTGCTGCTCGACTGTCGCATCGGCATGCTCCAGGACAAGACGGTTCGTATTTTCCTTTCGGCCCGGCGGTTGCACTTACTTTAGATAGACGCACTTCTTTGCCACTGCTTTCCGCTCTTTATTAGTGCAGAAGCTCGCTGCGGATTTTTCTTCCTCCTTCGGGCAGGAGCAATGATCTCGCAGCAACCGCGCTTGTACTTATAGCCCAGAAAAAAGACGTTACATTCTTTCGGTCCCTTCTAGTGTCTTCTATGCATAGCTTGATTTTATATAATGATAGACAATACACTTGACATATGTCTAATAGACTAGATTAAAGTCCCTGAAATCGGTTTAAAAAAGTTGAAGGTTCATAGAGTTTTTAGTTCCTTTCCGCAATCATCTAAATCAATTAACATTTTTGAAAATTGCAGGAACTATTCATACTCTAACAAGCGAACATTTTTACGTGTCCAACGGCGATTTTGATCAAATTGGGCATCTCGATTAGGATTTTTTTTTTGTAATAAAAAAAATTCAAGAATTTGCAAGTAAAGCATGTTTTTACATTAACAACATGCTTTTAAAATTCAAAAATAAATTTTGAATATTATCTGGAGCATTATTTGCTATTTAAAAATTAAAAATAAATTTTGTTTTATTTATTTTATATTATTATAATTTCGTTTACAATTATCATGATTTAAACTGTAATTTTTTATGCAATATGTAGTTTTAATTTTTTTAATTTTGAATTGCAAGTGGTATGTCAGCGGTTGTAAGCTTCTAAAGAAATATAAACGTTTTACGCGCTTCTTCATCTTGTATAATTGATTTATTATGGTCCAAAATTGTATCCGGATTTTGAAGTATTTTTCAATACAAGACTTGCAAATATAAAATATAAATTAAAATAGTATAGATAATAGATTGATGTCACGGTATTTATAAGCTAGAAGAGAATTTTGCAAATAAAAAATTTCACTACCAAATTAAGTAATTATTAAGTCCTTATTTAAGATTGAATAGTTGGCGTCTATGATAGGGAAGGTACAGTTAAGAGTTAATTTTCCATTCCACTCAAAGTTTACTGAATAACGTTTGCCGCTGAAAAGCAAGCAAATAACTGAGCTCTCAATAAATTATTTGTGGTTGGGACGCGCACTCGATCTTGGGCAGACCAACTTGAGTAAGCAAACGGCAAGTATTGTAGCTCAATTAGTGGCTGCGCAGGCGGCGTGGGTTTTGCTAAATCAAAACTTATTAATTTCGACTGGCACTCAGGAACTCACCATGGCTCTCTGCGCGCGATTCCTAATATTAATCTCAAGCCCTGGCATGATTAAGTGATTTATGGCCCCGGTCGGCGCGGGTGTTTGCTCGCCTGTGTACCGGCGGGTCGGTCGGTGGCTTTCTCCTCGAGCTCCTCCAGCAGAAACGAGAGATTAAGCCGAGCTTTATTGAATTACAGGTTACCTGGATCCAGCGCAAGGAGGACTCGATTCATTTGCTGACAGTCGGAAAGCAGGCTTACAGCAACGACGCCCGCTTCAGCCTCAATTTCCGCTACCCTAATAACTGGCGTTTGCAAATTTTGTTCGTGAGCCGCCGTGACGAGGCCACTTACGAGTGCCAGGTCGCCACCCACCCACCCAGGGTGCTCCAGGTCAAACTTCGAGTCAGCGGTGAGTAGCAAATAAATTCCTTATTCTTTTACAACTTTCTTTCATCACTGGGGGGAATCTATAATTGTTTTTGCATAATGGCACTGCCATACTTCTTTATTCGCGAGAGATGTGAAGAGAATAAGAGAGGTCGAAGAAGTAACCAAGCTGGGTTCTCCTCGCGCTAATCCCTGAGGTTATGCAACCGGCTGCACATTGAGAGCGAGCAGCTGACGTGAGTTGCATAAATACCTTCGGGATGGAACGATAGTGCAGTGATGCGATCGTGCTCTATTGTTTTATCGCTTTCAACTTCTTTGTTTCAAGAACAAAGTGATGAAAAAGATGTTAAAAATCCCAAATCTGTTTCTATGAAATACTAGTCTTGAATTATTATGAATTATTCTACACTAAATAAGTCATTTGGATGAAATTCGCATGTAGATAAGTTTGCCAAAAAATTTGACTAGGCTTTTAGAATATTATCAAGAACATATTATGTAAGAAGGCAAATGTCGCTTTATTTTTAATTAATTTACACTTCCTTTACTTGCAAAAAATTATGATGGCTATAAAAACTCATTTCTAGTAGTAAAATTTTCTTTTGAACAAACCCGTTCAAAATATTAAATAATCCTGGTTCCTCATATTAAAGTTAACTGGCGTTAAAATTTTTAATTGATAATAAGAAACGGAAAAATAAAAAAAATTGTTACTTTTTAGCGTTTAAGAATTTGTGTGATTTGCAAGTCTGTTTTTTTTTACATTGGAAAAAAATCATGAATTGCAAATATTGCTTTTGGTACAGTAAAAAAAAAACGACCGAGGCTATTAAATTGACAGTAACTTTGTTACCAATAGAAAGACTAAAAGTAGTAACCTGTTCCCAGACAAGCGTAGCTTCAAGTTTCCAATGTTTATTATTTTTAAAAAATTTTAATCTCCAGCTAACATCAAATTTGTACAATATTTTGTCAAAATTTTCATTTAAAAAATATTTTTTATGCGGCTATCCTTTAATTATTTAATTCAGCAAACGCACATGTTCAACCGTATCCTTTTGATTAAGCCCTGCGTGCGTGTTTTTGGTCCACCACGGCTAATAGAGAGGAAATTGCAACCGTGCTCTGTGCAGCAGCTGCTTACGAACAAAATGGCAACAAATTAGCCAGCCAATTTCGCAGTGCACATTAACCAACATGCTGATTTCGGAGCCACGCTCGGCAGCGTGTGTGCGGTCGGAGCGGCAATCATCGCCTCTCTGTCGAGAGAGCTGCAAAACGGTTTGCCTATCTCCCAAAAGCAGCAACTAAAACCAGCCGGCCACTGTACTGATGTACTCGGCTAGCGAGATGTATCAAATAAATATACGTGCTAGAGCGACTGCATTGCCTGTGTCCGGGCTCACATGTACAGAAAACAGTCCCATGTCACATTCACAAAGGATATTATGTGGTGACGTGTCAACAGTTTAGGCGCTGACCCTAGGGGAAGTGGAATTTGCTGATACACGCAGCAAAACACCACTCGCATGCCGGCTCGGCCACAGCAAACAAAGCAAAGAGGACTTCAAACTGACAAGCAAACCTTTTTGGTTTGGGTTTATATTTTAATTGCTTTTGCTTTGGTTAATGATATGGCGTGCCTCTGTTTTACTAAATTATTTTTGAAATCATGAATTCAAATTAAAATGTAAAAAGCATCACCAATCGAGAGGAAGAGAAACAAATAAAATAATTTTAATATGTAATATATAATTATTTTGAGTAAAATATTTTATATTTTATGTTAAAAATCAACATTTGGCGCAACCATGATTAGAATATTAACTATTTAACTCTATATGTAATTTTTTAAGTTGATAAATTGGCATTTTCGTAAGATTCAAATATATATCAAATGCTGATGCTATGGCGCAATTCTAAATGTACTTTGTAAGATTTGTTAAACAATATTTAATTAACCATTATGTTGTGTTCATTAATATTTACTTCTTGGTTTTAATGCTACCCTTTTATGTATGTTATTTTCAAAATTTTGCTTAAAAATAAACCGTTATGAGCAATTTTTAAGTTTGCAAATGTTACAGGTACATTATTTTATTATTTTAATGAACTAAATAGTATCAATTAAAAATAAAACTTTCATTTCATTAAATAATTTTATCATAATAAGCCAATAATTTTCAGCCTTTAATCTTTTCCATCAAAACTTCTTGATGACTGATGGAGCCAGGGATTTACTCTCTTCAATTAATAGTCGTTTTTTCTTTTAATAGACGAGATAATAAAACACAATTCTCATGTGGACTCAACGAGGTCACACAGACGAGAATAATTGCTTCAAAGTGTGCAGTAATTGGACAGCAAGAAAATCGTTTTATCCCCTGTCGACTGCCAGTTAAAAAGCGGTACCGGTTCGGCGCAGTGGACAATCGCATTTTCCTTCTTTCCACTCAGCAGTCTCAGAGCGTCCCTTGTAAATCAACCCTTAATACGATACCACTCGAACACAACAACAGCTCTCGTAAGATATCTGGAACCGAGCCAAGCCCTCGCAATGAGTATCGACAGCCCATCAGATCTGATGGATTCGAAACTTCTTCCTTTCGCACTCTGCCGCTGGCAAATCGGCAAAAATAATTTGTAGCAAATAAAAATGAGATACACAATGGAATCAGTTCGCAGAAAAATCCGTACTTTATGGATTTTGCCCTGGGAAAAAAATATGTGAATCACTTCCACTTCATCTCACGCTGTAGCAAATGTATTTATTTACACTAGGATGAATATTTCTGGCACAAAAGTTTGGCAAAAAATGAAATGGCAAATAAATTGGTGAAAAAGAATAATATAGAACACAAAACATGAATTTCGCATTAAACTTTGTAAGCAGGCGCGGTAACACGGGAAAAGCGGCATAAAACATTTGGTGTGACAACTTTTCCGCTCCGGCGATTTCATGGAAATTATTTCGCACTATAAAACCCAGCCGGCCAGCCTATATTGAAAATATTCAATTTCATGCTACAGGGCCTGCTTTCTTTTGCTCTTCCTTTTCCCCGGAGCCACAGCCCACGTTCTTTGCTGAAAAAAGGTCACGTGCTAATATAGCGCCGGCGGCTGTTTTTGACGATCTAGTGCAGGCTTGGATTAAATTTCATTACCCCATAGAGCAAAGAGGGTCATACCAATGGTTGCTATTCGCGTACCTTTCGGTGCCTTTGCCGTATCTCTGGCGGGTAATTTGTAAGAGATTCAACCCATCTCTCCATTTCACGTACAGTTAGTAATAGTTTCATTATCTTAATCTTGCTTAGTAGACTCACGTTTTTATCATCGTTAAAAGACAATTTATTAAAAGCTATTTTACAGCTCCTCTTCTGCGATTATTAAGAAGAAAAATTATAAAAGCCATTTGTTGCGAAATTTTTTTTCCGATAAATAGAGATAAATATTTTTTGATGAGTAAAAATTATAGAAGATTCAATTAAATATATAATCAATCGACACCTCGTAATAATTGGATAATCTGAATCTTTTACACTAAAATTCCAAAGATTTTTCTTATATTATTTAATTCCTTTTTATTAAATTTCGTTCATTACAGTACATCAACTTTCATTACAGATTTGTCACTCACAGAAAACAAAATATGAGAAAGTGACTTAATTTTCAATGTTTAACAATCTCTCTTCAGACCTTGATAGTACAATATATTATAATAAAAATAATATTATAAAAAAAATATTAATAACATACAATATATACGATTGAAAGTAAGTTTAATTCAATATTATAGATATTTAAATTATAAAAAAATATACATAAAAACATTCATAAAAAATTGAAGAAATTTTCTATTAATTTAATTTAAATAATGAGATAAAAATATTATTATAAATTAAACTTATACTTGAAATAAATCTTTTGTAAAAGTAAAAGTGGCAGGTCCACTTTAAATAATCAAATATTGAAGCCACTCAAAGCACACACACAACAACAAGGCCGCGCTGACAGGGCGGCGCCTTTTGTGCATGAACGTAATGCAACCTGCTAAGCACGGCAGCGGAGAAGTTTGCCTATCCTCGAAAACAGGGGCTCGACCCACAAACCTTGTTAAATGTTAAAGTATGCACTCCGCAATGCATCACGCCCGCTCAAAAAATTACACCATCCCTCAAGTAGGGCGCCCGCTCGCTCAACAAACGTTGTCCGAGGCAGTGGCCTGGAAGGTGAAGAGACAGGGCGGATGCACGCTGAAATAACACACTCGAGTTTAAAGCAAGCAAAGTGATTTATTGTAGGGTAAGTTGGTCTAGCCGTGGCCCCGCTACATCACTATCCATCTCACGTACATACTAAACTCTGTCGAGCCCTGGCGAGCACGAAGATTGTTGCTTTTTTATTCCGACGGCTGCACATACACACACACCGAGAGACAGAAAGGGAAAAAGAGCAGAGAATTCACAAAACAAAAAATAGAGATCCCTGACTTCCCTATTGCTGGCACCAGACGAGCGGGGCACGCGCATTTATTTATTTTTATAAACTAGCTGGCACGAACTTTGCTTAATGTGCTTCAGCTCGTCAGGAGGAAAAGGGATGAGCAGAGGGAGAGAGACGTCATCATCAGAGAGAGAAAGACACGAGACAGGAAATACGCCGGCGAAATTTCCTCCCACAGAGCCTTATCTTGTTTTGCGAGTTAGTTTTTTGTTGTTTGCCCGGGTAATAACGCGCGAACCGCCACGGGTGGGATTTTGGGCAAACTTTTTCGCCAGACCTTGGCCGCCTCGCTTTTTGTTTGCCGTGCATTTTGCTGCTGCTTTGCATTCTCGGCGGCCGCATTTAATTAAAGCGCCGTGTTTGCCCAGATTTTTTTTCGTCGGCAGCCAATCTTTTTCTCTCTTTCTCTTCTTTCTCTTTTGGTTATTGGAAAGAGAGGGAAGCCGCCGCCGTCGGCTGGAGAGTAATGCACCCTTTGCTGCTGTGTTCTTGTTTCTGCTGGATTTATTACCATGATTGCTGCAGATCCAAAGCCAGCCCTGGGATCTTTTGGCTGGGCATTCATTCTGCTTGGCCGGATTAAATATCCTCCCTTGATCCACTCGTGACCAATCAGATTTGGCAACATCGTTTAGGAATTATGTGCCATCAGAGGCAACAGTTTGCGACAAACAGTTCCTCATTATTGGAAATCGGATCGGAGCAGGCGGCGGATTATTGCCGCTTGGGCAAACATTTATTAATCGACTCGGCCTGGATCAAAATAGAGGTACTCGGGCATGGAGGTAGCAAAAATTTCTGTCAAACGGAAGGAAACATCTCAAAATAAGTCGTTCGCAAGCGGATCTCCTTTTTTTCAATTCCCAAAAGACGTACGTACTTAACTTCCTTTTTTTAGGTACAAACTTGGAACAACACAAAAAAGCATTTAAAAATGAAAGTATACAGCGTTGGCGCTCTTTTATAGCATTTATACAAATAAGCTGATTAGAGCTTGTAGAGAGCGAAAATAAAATAACCACTATCAACTCTTAATTAAACCGAACTTTAGAATATACAAAAAAAAATGGAGATTTGAATTTTCAAGATTAAGTTTCCCAAAGTGTTTTTTTTTCTTTTTGCTTTTGCGAATAAAATAGAAAAAAAACCGAGAGTCAATTTAATTCACCATGATTAAAATCTTGATCTTGAAATTTTATAATTTTATAAAGATTGTGTTTTCCGTTGTTTTCCTTTAAAAATAATTTTTGAGAAGCGCTTATCAAAAATTCTACCACAACAGCCAATGTTGTGTTGAAAAAGGGGACGATGAAGTTGATTTATGAAGCACGCACAACTAATGATCAACATGCTGTCCACTAAAGGATGCTTGAAAAATATGAATTTTGCTTTTAAGGGTCTCAACGGGGGGGGGGGGGGGGGCGAAATATGTAAACAATTTTTATAACTAGCAAGTATTATTATTATATCTAATTTTCTCCCTCTCTTTTTATGTAGATTTTCCCTTTTAGAGTTGATATTGTTTTCTCCCTAATTTAATTCCTGACATATTTTCACTTTGCATTTGATGCGACTGACTTCTTCCATTTCCCTCAAGCGTCAAGCCGTTCTTAATATGACATGCATGTTCTGGCCGTGCTTTAGCGCTGACAGCTGCATTGCTAGGCACATGTATTATGTATATTGACGGCGCATATCACGTTGCGAGTCGCGGTTATTCGACTGCACTTCCCTAATATCGCCTTCTCCTCCCACACACGTCTCCAAGGCAAACGTGAGCCAATATTAAAGTCGCTCTGATTTATGGTTGAAGAGAGACGTGACGCTTCATTGATTAGCTCCCTCATCTGCAATTCACTCTCGCACGTTCAACGCACTCTCTGATATTATAGCTTTGTTAAGCAAGTGAAAATAAAACCTACGAAATGCAAGATGGGAAAACGCCTACACTTTCATGGAAAGGCTTTTCCCAGAATAGAATAAAAAAGAAATGAATATATACAAAAACCGTCTGATATCTTAAAATTAGGAAAAAGAAAATATCATTTTTTTCCAAAATTTTGATATAATTTTAATTATCACAGTAAGTGTAGCAAACGTTCGAATTCAAATATTTATATTATATTATTTATATATTTTACTGTTTCTTTTTTTAGATATATTTCCCTGGTAAATAGCAGCGGTGAGACGGTTTATTTGGGTCAAAACAAAATTTATGTCCCGAGTTTCTCCATTCCTGTCTACAATTTAGCACAAAAGCATTAAATTTCAATAATCAAGCTGTTTTCAGAGTCGAAGTCGTAAATTCTCGATAGCTTTGAATAATTTACGGTGAAAGTGAATTTTATCATCAGATACATAAAATACGTATATATTTCCTCTTGTCCTCGCAACAAAAACCAACAGGCTACTTCCTTTTCTAACAAAGGCAGTAAAAATCCAGAATTTACAGCAGTTTGCTGCTGACGCTGTAAAACATTACTTCATTGATTTCTTGTTTCCTCTTGTTATTTATTTTTCAAGAAACAACCAGCATTGGCAATGGTCTGAGCAGTAAAATTTCCAATTATTTATTTCCACCCTTTTCTACGAGCTTTATGTTGCCTGTTCGGTTTATCGTTAAACCTTCTTGGCCAACTTCAAAAGTGACCTTTTTACTACCGAGAATATAGTACCTGCATATTGATATATGGAACCATTCACAATTTCCACTCGCTTTTTCGGGGAAAATATATATTTCACTTTTTTTTTTCGTTCAATGCCATTTGCCCCGGAGCGCGAGATATGCTAATTCCAAATTAAATTCCACGTTCGACTTGATTAAATTGGGTTTGCCCATTTTCAGCTCCGGAACTGCACATCCTGGACGAGCACGGCCACGCCGTGTGGGATCGTTACTACAAGGTAGGCAGCAGGGTGGAATTGCTGTGTGAAGCCTCGAGGGTGCAGGAATCGCCATCGACAGTAGAGTGGAGGCAGGCTGGCGTGTCCCTTGCCGCAGTGGCGAAAAACCACTCTCGCCCCGAACTGAGGTAAAATGGCCAAAGAATTGGACAAAGTGGAAATTGGGTGCTTAAATAATCATGCAAATTTCTTTATGTATTGTGGTTGGCACAAATGGCTGCGGAATATTAATTATTCCTTTTAATATCTGTAACGAAAGAAAGGGTTTAGATTTTTCATGAAATTATGTTTAAGAATTTTTTATATAAATACATCATATATTCTTCATTCCTTTTCTATTCAACTTTTTATTATAAAATAACAAGAACTTAAATAAATGAAAATATAGATTCAAAACAATTAAAAAATATTTTTAATTTTTACATTTTCTTCCACTATTTTTAAGAAATTAAAGTATTAAGAATTAAGAAGCAGTGATTTTATCTTAGATAAGTACGATAATCTTCATCCATATTAGGCAAATTTTAAAGGAATGTTTTGCAAGAGTTAAAAATTCTAAATAGTTGTGAGTTTAGTTTAAATGTGGAAATCGTGATCTTGGTAGACCAATTTATTAAATTCTAACTGGAAATTACGTGGACCTCTCTCTGGTGGTGCTAACTGGCTCGTTAATTTGCAGCGTCACCTCTGGTACCCTGGTGGGCAAGGACACGGTGCGAACGGTGCTGACTTTGCAGCGCGCCCGCAAGGAGGACTCGGGCAATTACACTTGTGTTGTGGCCGACATCGCAGAGGCGACAGTCACCGTGCACATCTTGAATGGTGAGTCAGCCAATCATGCGGAAAGTGGCCCCGCGTCCAATTTATGGGCCAATTTCGGCGCGCGCCACGATAAATATCGGCTTGCCAGACCCAACTGGCGCCAAAATGAGAAGGAGGTTCTGCTGGTTTTATAGAAATGGATTGGAAAACAATTTAGCGAAAGCCGCGTGCGCCATCATATTTAAAGGGACAGCATGGAACGATTCAACACAGAGGGCCATTAATGCTGCAAGATAAAATTCAGAAGGCAAAAATATTTACGTAGCAACTAAAAAAATTCACAAGAAGTTTGATTATTATTATTTTATTTATATTTATTTCTTTATGGAAAACATGACACAAGGGATATTGAATATATTAATCAAAATTAATGTGGATTCTTAAAAGTGTTCAAACTACATTGTTATTTCCAACGGCTTTTAACTTTTAATTTTACGGAGTAATTTTAATGTAGATGAAAGTTAGCACCATCTAAGCACAGTAAAGCATTACTACACTAATAAAATTAAAATGAAGAGGGTAAAAAATCACTTACTATTAAATAAATTATAATTATTATTGTTTTTTATGCTTTTTTTATGAGATTTAGAAAATATTTTTTGATGCATTATAAGAATAAATTTTTCTTATTGCATTTATTTTTGTATGTTTCAAAAGGCTATTGAAGGGAGCCAGCCAAAGTGAAAATGTAATAAAATAATCCCTTCTCTGAAATCTACCCGCAGATTGGACGCTCGAAGGCTTTTTGAATCATAATCTCATTTATAAAGCATGGATCATCATTACGAACGCCAGCGCTCTCTTTTGTTTCAGAGCAAATATAAAAATATGGGCCACAGGCTGTGGCAAATACACTTGAATTGTTAATACGCTGATGGTGATATATTGATTCCGGTTTATACGCCCTAGCGTTAAAGGGGAGAGATGCGGAGAATTTCGCTCTTCGCTTCCTCCAGATATTTTCTCTCTCAGGCACTATATATTGTTTAACAATGCCCTCCTTTTTCGACAAGAGAGGAAAAAAAATGAAAAACAACTAGTTTGTTTTGTCGAGCAAAAAAATCGCTTTCGCGGCCGTTTTTAACTAAATTGCATTTCCACGAGTGAAATATGCTTCTTGTCTCTCGATTTTTTTGTTCTTTACTTGGAGCAAATTTAAGCATTTCCGAGCAATTTATCTCGGATTGACGCTGACAAAGTGCCTTTTCAACTCTCGGACACGAGTGCGGAAATAAGCTCGGCCAAACATTCACCAGCAAGAGCAGCTCGTCTTCTACTTGGTTTTTTGTAAAATTCCAGCCATAATTCAGTCGGAAGACTCACGTGCTCCTCAAGTGGCCTTTCGAGATTGCATCCCCGCAAGTATATGATGTATTTATGATTCGAGCCACATTATTTGCTTTAATACGGTTTTCCTTGCAAAAGGGATCATGCTCGGCTGCCATTCTGACGGATTAAATTTATTTGAGGCGAAAGGAAGCGTCTTCTTATTTATCTCTTGCGCACGTTGGGTGCTCATTGAAAGCAACTTTACTGCTTTTCCCTCTTAATCTCGTTTCGCATTCTCTCTCGAGCGAGATGTGGTTTTCTAGCTCGAACAATCCGGCCTAGATTTAACTTCTTGATGCTCTTCTTTTACAGACACGCACTCTGCTCAAAGCTCTCCGAGAATAAGATTTCAAAATCATATTTACCCAAGCGCAGCAGAGACGAGAGATGATATATATAATAAATTATTCTCCTTTTGGCAAAAAATAATTTTTTTTATAGCTTTTAAAAAATTTCATTCTCATTTCTTTTTATTCTCTTGACGTAAATTTCTTTTGTAGCCAAAAAAAGATTTTCACTCATATTCCATCCACCCGGATTTTATGTTATAAGTTCAGAATTCCTTTTTTCGCTTTTTTCATTCATATATTAAATGTCGATTAAGCGGAGTGAGAGAAAGTTTCTAAATGCGCAAAGAAAGAATTCGTTCGCCCTTTGCTCTTCTCGTGAGCGATAAGATGCCTTTCATAAAGACGTCCTGGGCATATCTTTCTCTCATCTTCATCTCCCTCGGCAACCGTGTTTCCCTTGAGCGAGGCAAAAGCACGTTATATTTTTAATTAAAAATAATGAAACTTTACGGTCGTTTGACACAAGTCTCGCTGTTGGAATATTCCGTTCTGTCTGCAGACGAGACGAGGAGTTATTTTCAATTTTCCACTTGCCTTACAAGATATGAGCGCAGCATTTCTTGCCCAGCCGCGCGCACTTCTTGCTTGTCCCTTATTGTTTTCAACTGAGTGAGACAGACGCAGTTGTTCCACATTGGTAAACCTGATGTATTCTAAATTAAATAATACATACATGTTATGTTGCTGCAAGTCATTCCTCATTTCGTACAAAAATAAAATATTCACTTCCTTCTAAAATTAATTTTTCAGAGAGTTAAATTATTAAAAATTCAAAATAAATAAACACTAACTTTGTTTTCATAAAATTCAATAAAAAGTTGAAACTATTTTAAAGCAATTTTTTTTTTCATCTTATTGAAGACTTGTATTGCAATGAAGCCCAGGAATGGCAATATGATTTCTCTTCCGCAATTGCACTTCCGATCTGGCTTGCGTTTTTCTCACATCTGCGGCGTAGTCGCTTTATTTGCACCGAGCCGCAGACTTGGAGAGACATCAAATTTCCATGAAAATGATGCAGCATGGAATGCAATCTTGTGGCTTCAAATTGATAACTCTTTGGGGAAAATGCAACTGCAGTTGTGTTGCGTTGTGCACAATTGTGTCAAGGATCTGCTTCTGTCGCAGAAATACGAATTGAAAAAAATTGAACTCACTTCAGAGGACAAAAAATAAAGCCCTACTCGAACATCTAAATTTTTCTCTCTGAAGTATGAACGTTGAATTTAATTGAAAATAAAAAAAATTACTGTACGATGTAAACATATTAAAAAATAACTAAAGTGGAATTTCCAATGAAATTTACGTTCATATTCGTACATAGGATTCTTTTCAATAAAAACCCACTTTTCACATCAGGCCACGTTTGTTACTATTTTAATATAGGAAAATTAATAAAAATATTTTTTTCATGTAATGTGGAATTTAGCATCAAATGGTTTGCTACCTGTACCAGGAAATTGATTTTAGGCATGCTGAAAGGTAGAAGCAAAGCAAACGGAACAGAAAACGGGGAAAATATGCTTTTAAAAATGTCGAAAATCGCTGTTTAATTTTTTTTCAGCGTATTTTGTGTATCATTAAATTACTGCAAATTTTATAAAAATTTTCTATAGTGAATACCGGAGAATGCTTCACATGAGCTTGATTATTATTATTTTATAGTAAAATTTAAACCCGTTTTCTATTTTTTATTCTCAGAAATTGTTACTTATTCCTTTCTACCAATTATAGATCCAATTAAACTACATACATATAAAAACATGTGAGAAGGAAAAGTATGCCAATTTTTGAGCTTTGTTTACTTGGAGGAGGAAATTGATTTCATGCATATTGAAAAATAAAAACAGACCGTAACAGACAGAAAATATTTTTCCACAAATTCAAATTTATCATACTGTGTGTATATCAGAGGTACTGCTTTTTCCAGATGTAAGGATGGGCAAAAAATAACAATTTGAATTTTTTAGGACCACAATAAGATGTTAAATGTCAAATAAGAATAAGAATATTCAATTTACAATTATTTCAGACTGATTTTAAAACGAATAAAACTTACTATTTGTCTAACACCGACAATCAGCCCAGCAATTCCAATAAAAAGTAACATTTTAACTTTTAATTGAACTAAATTTTATTTGAGGAGGTGTGTTTTTTTCTAAATAAAGTGGGCTTTAAACAAATTTTTTTGCCGTATCTTCAAATAGATTTTCTTTTTATTTCATTTAGTGCTCATCTCTGTTTAAGGCTATAATAATTTATAGATTTTCTTTTTCAACAATTTATTTTCTTATAATGACTTCCTGCAAGCATTACTAACGAGTTTTTGCTCTAATTTCCAGGAGAACTTCCTGCGGCAGTGCAGCACGGGACTTCCGGTCAAGCGCCAGTGACTCCGCTGCTTGGCGTCCTTGTCATACTGTCACACCTCGTGGTCACATGCCAGTCCAGGTGACGTCTCGTGGGACTCGAAGGTACACGGAATAATTCGCTCTTGCAAATAATATAAAAGCACCGGCGGTGCGAAATAGACGAGCGACGGGCCTTAATTACACAGACAATCACCGTCGGCAAATATAAATCTTTGGCTGCGGCGGCGCACATTGCGCGCGGCAATTAATTATGAAAACGTTTTCGCAGCGCCGCGCGCGCAATTTGCATATCAGAAGGGTTATTTCGCCGGGGTGCTTTGTTCGAAGGCGGCGCAATTGCAAACAATAATAATTCATTGCAATATAAGCAAGTGGCAGCCTAGGTGTGTGCGCGTTTAATTTTAATCGCGCTCGCGCGAGAAAACACACACGTGAATTGTTAAATTGAAACGACGGCTTAAACACTCGCGTTTGCTCGATTGCTTTGCTCGCTCGGCAAGAATGCTCACGGTTGAGTTTATTGGGTCGCAAAGTCGCGAGCGGAACACAAATATAACAACGAAGGGCGTTATGACAGTTTTATTTCATCAACTTTTATGATTAATAACGTTAGATCAAGTTTAATTTTTGCTACATTTTTAACACATATTTTATTATCTCTTGCTTTTATTTTAATAAAATGTTAATAAATAAGGTTATTTTATTTCATTAAAAATTAGTTATGTATAAATTTCATTTTTTTCCAATTTTATGTAATAGTCTCTCAGCAAAACAGAAAATCGTAACAATTGTAGATAATTCATTTACAAAAAAAAAAAAATTTTATCAACAAGATTCTATATTATTTGCATTGTAAATGAATTAAAATCGTCATGTTCAGTTGGATAATATTATTATTTGATGATTAGAAACTTAACTGTTTGTAATCTTCTTAAATTAATGGCGCAGTTGTATTTTGAAATCCTAATCCTTAATTGAATTGTTGCTAGATTAGTAAGTTTATCTTGTAAACATAATAAACATAAATATCATACATGGGTGCGCTCAACAATTTTGCGCTCGCGCTCGCGCTCGCGATCACTGGCAACAGTGCGCTCGCGCTCTGCGCTCGCGATCAAGATTTTGAAAATGTTGCGCTCGCGCTCTGCGCTCGCGCTCAAATTTTTAAAAAGTCTTGCGCTCACGCGTTGCGCTCAAAAATATTTTTATCCGAAGAAAAAGTGCAAATTTTAGACAAGTTTTTAATATAACAAAAAATACATCGGCAATTGGAAATGATAAAGTTGAAGTTAAATCACCAAAATTGGGATCAGTTTTGAAGTTTTTGGTATAAAAACACTGTTTTTCATTACAATTTTTGATCAAATTCGGGAATTTTTACCTTTGGTTTGAGCGCAAAATGAGCGCAATTGAGCGCTGCGCTCAGCGACCAATGCGCTCGCGCTCTGCGCTCGCGCTCACGATTTTGAAAATCGTGCGATCACGCTCTGCGCTCGCGCTCATGAGCGCAGAGCGCGAGCGCAGATCGCAGAGCGCAAAGTGCGCTCTGCCCATGTATGATAAATATAGTATTCTTTATTATGGATCTGATATTTTCTCAGCTTAAGAAATTGGAGACTCCATACTTATTTTCAGTTGTCAAAAACTAAGTATTTGCAATTGGAATAGAAAATAATTAAAAAAAGAACTACTTCGCACTTTCAGGGGTTGAATTTCAAAACAGCACGTCAGGCCAAAACTTATTAGCCACTTAATATTGTCAATATTTCTCAAATAAAAAGTTTCTAGGCAATGAACCCGAGACACCCTTATTTGCTCCGTAATAAGATTTTATTTTCCCAATTAAGAATGTCAGTGGAGTTTTCCTTTCTTGGATTAAAATATTGCAATGAATTTATTTTCTCTTTTTACTTGTTGAAGCAACGGAAGATGTATTTTTAGCATAAACTCTCTGACACTTAATTTTTATTACATTCTTTTAGTGCAACTTTTCACTGCAAAATCATCTCATCCAAACTTAAGCATTTTCGCGACTAAATTTTTTACACTCTGCTTGGAAGAGAATTGGACCGAGCGTCTAGTCAGCACAATCGCCATCATTTGCTGCAATAAAAGTAAAAAAGATATATCTGATTGCAGATCGAATCATCCACGGTCGAGGCTAAAAAGGAGCGAGAGCAGGAGACAGAGTAGCAAATATGAACATGTGCAAACCCCTCAACCGGAGTGAGTGTGTGCGATGGGATCAAAGAAAAAGGAGAGATTTACAGGTGCCAAATTAACTTTGAGCGCCGGAGAGACTCAAGCGTTTTTTATACACTGGTGCAGAGACAAGATGATGGTGTTTGAGAAAAAAAGAAGAGTTATATTTCAATAGTCATATCAACCAAATTAATATACTTATTTTCGGACATGTTGAGACAATGGCAGCCAATTAAGTTGTGTTTTTGATAATGGGGGAAAAGTGAGAAGTCGACGAAGAGATGGTTTTAACACATAGTGAGCCGTGATAAGGATTGCTAAATTGTGCGTGGCAAATAAATGCTGGATTGTGAAAAAAAGTATCAATTTACGCTAAGCTGCAAAGATTCTATGTTAAATTTACCTGTTTATCATATATAAAATGATAGATTGGGATTGTATCAATGTGTTGTTTCAAAAAATAAAGAAAGGTAAAAATCAGCATGTTGTTGGATTAAAATTATTTCAATACCTGTTTTGTTAATTTTTAAATAAAGTTTATACAGTGGCGCAAAAATAACAAAATCTAGTGTTTTAAGTTTTAAAGTTTTATTAAAATGTTTGCTAGGAAATTTATTGTTGCCATCATTCTTTTAATAATATCAAAAACTGTATCAAACCATTAAAAGTTGCCACACTCTAGCATAATAAACATAATTTATTAGAAACAATAAAATCTTATTTTTATTAACTAAACAATTATTTTTTAGTATAGAATTATAGTAGTAAAATGATAATTTTTTGCTTACAATTAGAGCGCAAAACTTTAAGAAAAAGATGCACAAAGACCTTTGTCAAGTAAATATTAATTACAATTGCGTAAAGAAATTTTATGGATTTTAAATTTATAGTATTCATTTATAAGCGTTGTTATACCCACCCTTGTTTAAATAAGGGTGAGGTTGGTTGAGGGTAGCTCTGCGAGGTGGCAGCTGCTGTTCCACCCCAACAGGCACCCCTGCTTTTGATTCCGAGCAAGAGCGACGCGGAGAGAAAACTCGCCAACTACGTCGCTCAATCGAGGAAGGCGTTTGAAATCCGGCGGCACAAAGCAATGTTCGTCGTGACCTCTTTTTGGAAACAAATTTGCATTTCCAGAACGGACCAATACTCCAAAATAATGTGAAGAAGGATTTCCAACAGCGCCAGGTTCACAATGGATCAATACAAGGCACTGGGCCACATCGGCGAAGGGGCCCACGGGGTCGTGACGAGGGCCGTTCACAAAGCCACGGGAAAAGACGTGGCAATGAAAAAGTTGTACTTGCGACGGCCGGACGAAGAGGTGCCTATTCAAATTCTCAGGGAGATCAAACTGCTGCAGAAAGTGCAGTGCAAATATGTGAGTTTATTTTGCACTCTCATTACAGAGGGAAAGTGTTTTAATTTTATCATTGTTATTTTGATTGGCAGGTGATTAAACTGCTGGAGGTTTTGCCACAGGGCATCTGCTTTGTTCTTGTTTTCGAGTACATGCCCACAGGACTGGCGGAAATGATCAAAGACCCGCAAAGTCCTTTGACTGAGGCGCAAATCAAAAGATACTTGGAGATGCTCCTTCAAGGAGTTGAATATCTGCACTCGCAATATATAATGCACAGAGTGAGAGAATCGATTTTCGTGAAAGGAGTTTATTTCAGGTCTTTTATAAAGAAAACTTGTTTTAGGATTTGAAACCAGCGAATCTCTTAATTAGCTACAAAGGTGTTTTGAAAATCGCCGATCTTGGTCAAGCCCGTTTGTTTGACTTGAAGGCCAACGAGAAAAGACCCTACTCGCATCAGGTCGCGTCGAGATGGTACAGGGCGCCGGAACTATTGTACGGCGCCAAGATTTATACTGAGGCTGTGGATATTTGGGCTGTCGGCTGCATCTTTGGAGAAATGCTAAACAGAGCTCCACTGTTTAGGGTATTTTTTTCTCAAGAATTAACAATTATTTTGTTGTTGTTGGCCTGCGCTCTTAAGAATTATAAAATATTTTCCATTAAATTATATTTTTATCATAATATATGAATTTTTAGTAATTTTTTTGTATGAAAAGTTTAATATATAATTTAACCATTTTAGGGTGCAAGTGATATAGAGCAGCTCTGTGTGGTGCAGAGGATGATGGGAACACCAAGCACAAGAGATTGGCCTGAATTAGAAACGCTTCCAGATTACAATAAAATCACTTTCACACCAATGAAAGCTCTGCCCTTTGAAAAGATCATCCCCAACTGCAGTTCTTCCACATTAGACCTCACGAAAAAATTCATAGTTTATAACCCGAGCTTACGCATTTCTGCAAAGAAGGTATGTTCTAAAGTTTGATCTTAAAATAACGTGCGATAATTAAAAAAAAAAAAATTATTAGGCACTGGAGCATAAGTATTTTTTTAGTATGCCCCTGCCGTGTCCAATGCCGGACATGCCCAAGCCATTTGATGGTCACAGGGAAAAGTTCAACCAAGATTCGCCTGATGTCGGCGGCCCGAGTGGTATTTTCAATAATTTTGACAAAATGCAAATAATTTAAAAATAAAAATATTTGGCATTTATCTTGCGGCAAAATGGATTATTTTATTTTGCATGAAATTCTCCTTCAAAATTTAAGCACAAACAATTGTGCCCAAGGGGTCGGAGATGAAGAAGGTGTGCAGTGAAATGGCTGAATAATCAACCACCCAGTCAAAAAGACATTGTGGACCATCAGGAATAACCGCCTGCACTGCGGATAGAGGAACGTCTTCATCGTAGTTGCGAATGCCTGGACGAACAACAGTCTCGCCAAAGTTTTGGAAGCCCAGTCCAACAAAATCATTGCCGTTGTACATCAGGAACCAAGGATCGAAATCAGTGCAGCTTCCATTTGAGCCCATGTTATCATAGTAATGGATACCTTAAATAATTTTTAAAATTTGTAAAATTTAAAAATGGTTGATTTTTTAAATTAAAATTACCCATTCCCTTGATGCAACCGCAAAGCACGTATCTGGTAGTTGAAACCAACTCGGCTCTGTCGAGAGGGATTTTAACAGCCTCGCTGTACTTATTGCTCTTTTGAATCCAAAGCTCCACAAAAGTTCCTTCGCTGAGATCATTTCTACCGCCAGCATCCAAAACACCTAAAATTTTCAGTCGATTACAATTAAAAATAATTCTCAAACTAAAATGATAGATTTACTAGGAGACACAAAGAATGCGGTGGCAGTCCAAACGTCGCGTCCAAATCTAACCAGCCTGCGGAATGAGGGGTTCAATTCGAAAGGATAGCTACCATTGGTATTTGCAGTATCCTCATCTGGAATCTGCGAAATGCATTTTATATTTTAGTCCCTAATACGCTTGGGAAGAAATAAAAAAATTTCTATTCATTATTAACTGATTGAAAAATAAATTATAATTAAAATAATTTTTTGTTACTTTTTGTAACCTGCTTTAATTTAAAAGGAATAAAAACAACAATATTCACGGCATTTTGCCAAATTTACACAAAACTTTCTAAAAAAAGACAATCAGACAATTCAGGCCAAGAATGAAATGTATGTATCTTTTTCAAGAAAATATTAAAAAATTCACAAATTGGGGGAGAATTTAAATTTAATCTATTATATCAATAGTGTTATTCTTGCACTTTGGTGAATTTTGATTTAATATATTTGTTAAAAAAATATACATTTATAAAATCTATTTTACTCATTTCAATATTCACCATCTCACATCTTCGTTCTAGTTTCAAAATAACTTACACTGTATTGCTCTCCAGCAATGAATCCGTTGAGGTCCAAAATTATGCAAAACCTCTCATTGTCCTCTTGGCAGTGGATTGTGAATGGGTCTCCAGCGTCACCAGGAACCTCGACCCAGGTGATCTTGTCCGAGTCAACTTCGGCTTTGGTCCTGGGAATGTCGTACAACGTGTTCGGGACAAATTTGATAGGAAACCACTTTGCTATAGCAGGGAAAAATAAAAAAAAGCAACATTAGCAATACTTCTTGTGTGGCACTTTGGGCAAAGGTTGCCCGAATTAAAGCAAAGAATGCGACGAGCGACCGAAATTGCATTCCCACGCCCTTTTTGTCGCCCGACGTGTCGCGCGCTACCCTTTGAAGAAAAAGGGGTGCCAAGTATGCAACACGCTCTCTCCGGCGCCTCGCCTCGAGATTCATCCATCATGCATGGCGCAAAATATCATCACGCGTACTCACCCACGAAGCCGTCATGTAATCCAGCTGCAACACAAAAAGAAAATCGATTAGGGAAATATTTTTTCTGCATTTTTTCTCATTTGCCGCGTGGGAAAGTGCGCACTTTTCCGCCCAGCACGCATCCTCCGTTCTTCGTGGGGAGGCCAAATTATTATGGCTATCATTTGGGAAACCTCTTAATACATGAGAGGTGCACTTATTTTTTTACCTTGATTCGTGCTCTTATAAAAAATGAAAATAAGGATACTCTTGTCAGCATGAGAGAAAAAAACGTCTCAATTTGGTTGGAAAAAAAGAAAAATCCTGGCCCTGGTGAATAAATGAAAGTGATTGGGAGGGAAAATTCCCATCTTCGGATATGTTTTCCTGCCTAAGGCTCCCTCAGCTTCTATCAGGTGAATTTTTTCCTGCCTGGAAATCTTTCGTCCGGTGCGTTATAATATATCAAAGAAGGAGGGTGAAATGCAGTGCGGTGATTAAATCTCCATCTCAAAAAGTTTGCAGCGCGCGCCTCGCCGGCCTAATGGGAATCAAAACTTTAAATTGTTATCTCTCAACTCGCGCCTGCAAATACAAATCGTTATATATGGCGCTCACCGGCGATATCAATTGCGCGATCGCTCAAAACTGCGCACTGTGATTGATTTTACCAGCGAAACTTTATACCCGGGGATATTTTTTTCGCCAACCCCGAGAAGACATTAATTCTCATCAAACGCAGCGATTTTGATCGAAATTGGCAGTGCGAGGCTCAGAAAATGGTGGCAAAAGTTTGAAAAACTCCTGAGATCTAGATCCTTTAATGAGAGTGTCATTTTTCACGACGCCTCGGCCGATGTGGATTTAAGCGACTCTATCTTGGTGCCGTGTCCATAAAATTAGAATTCTCATCAGCATAGAGAAGAGAATATGAAACGGCTTTGATATTGTGATAGAAAAATTTTTTATTTATGATAGAAAAATGCTATATTATATTAGTGACCATAAAAACATCAAATAATTGAATTTTAAAAATTTTCTCTGCATTTCGCCTGATACGTGAAAATTATGAATTCAATTAATAAAAAAAAATTAATTTTTAAAATAAAATATGATTTTGTTTTTCATTACGATAATAAAAAGAAGCAAAATAATTTAAATCATATTTAACAAAATAAAAAAATGATGAAAGAAAAGAAAAAAATTAAATTAAATTTTATATTAAAAGTATGAATAATAATAATTAATTTTAAGAATTAAATTGTTTCATTATTCATTGTGTTCCTTCTAAACTTGCTCAGAATGGTACCTGGAAATGTATTTTTGATTTTATTTCAAAAGGCACTTGTCGTCACTGCCTGGGCGACAGGTTGCTACTTCTTCTCGAGTCAAAGGGTCTTTGGCGAATACATACAAACGAGAGGCGTCGTCACTCACTCTAATTATATTTAATTGAATAAGTTTGCGACTGTGTCTCTGAGCGAAAGGGAGAAGAAGTAATAATTTCGTCACCTGCGCGAATTTCTCGTCAACAGCCGCTCGCAATTCGCGCTTTTGCTCTCCCTGTTGTGCACGAGAAAAGCTCCCTCTGCAGCCCTCGAAGTGTGTGCGGTTCGATGCGACGCACAATACCCACCTTTTGCCATCCCCGATGCTCACACAATACACGCGCAAATTGTGTGCCTTGTCATTTCTATACCCGCGTGTGAAGGGCAAACATAACTCTGTAATTAGCGCATTTCGCCGGCGCACACACACACAGCTAGCAGCGCGTCTTCTAATCCAACGGGCCCTTAGTTTTCGCACAGAGGCGGAAGCTTCAAATTAACTCGACGCCTTCCTTCGGTAAATGTTCGTCGATGGCGGAATTATGCGGAGAATTACACACACTCAGTCTGAATAACGATTGCAGTAATGTGCAACCCTCTGAGGACTTGTTAAGAGCAAGGGTTTTAACTTTACCATTTAATTGTTTCAAGAGCTACGTTAATAACAATAGCGACTGCAAGGGTTCAAATAATATGAAATAATAGTTTTGAATATTCTACTTTTAGAAATAAAATATTAAGTAATTAATAGAAGATAAATGATAAATTAAATACATTTTTCTTGAGCTGCAATTGCAATTATGTTAAAATTATTTATCATTAAATTAGATAATATTTAATTTATTACAGAAAATTAATATCACTTAATTTTTCATAAAACATTTAACTTTTAAAGAATTCTTGCAAGAAATTTTAATTTACTTATTTATTAGCCTAAGCCATGGTATTAACTTATTTATTTTAGCCTCTTAGCCATTTGTATGTAATTATCCTATTTAGTTGCAAATTTATTTATCTTATTCATTTCAATTTTCATAGTAGTAAAATCGTCACATACTTTTCAAATTTTGGGTTGACATCGCAAATTTAATCAAAGAAAAGTGTAAAATGTGAGCATTTTTTACATTCAGCCTTACTCGGCCCATGCCTCATTATAATAACTCACTAAAGTAAAATGAGTTGTAATTTGATTGATAAATATGCCCTGAAAAAGTTTATAGTGATTTAATACTTAAAGCTTCTCTTTCTACGTTTTTCCTTTGTCAAATCCCGTGGCTAATTAAACTACCATTATTCACATCTAATTTAGTAAAAATTATGATCCCATCACTCCTTTCTTTTGTAAGTAAAGCTTTGCATCTTCCGCAGAGGTCTACCCATAATATATAAGTTAAGAAAAAGAAAGTTCTAAAACGATTAAAACTTCTCTCTCCGTTGATTTACCCTTTTCATCGGCGCGGCGGAAATTACGTTAAAAAAGTCGCTGCGCATTTGCACGAGCACTCTACCTATCGTGCCTAATGAAATATTGATTTCGAGCGAAAAAACGGAGAGTTTATCAACTTCAAAGTAATTACTTCCAAATTGGCCACTTGAAGACAAGAGAGAGGAGCCGCGAAATGCTTGAAGAGATATGAAGATGAAAATTATCTCGCCCGCCCCCTATGTCCTGAAACGGATTAAAAGAGCCTTTAACCTCGGCGAGCGGCGAAATCAGCCGCTCTCGAATTCCCTTGCCGGCTTTTCAAAGGGTTTTTATTTTGACTGCGATTAGGCTGTCCACTTGCGCTTTATTGGTAATCCCTTAATGCCTGCTTGCGCGCACACCGCCTCTAAATCATTATAGATGATCGCTTGATCGCCTCTTTTCCCTTTGGCGACTGTCAGACTTTTCCAAGCCATTCTGCACATATTGACTTCAAAAGATGCCAGATGGCATCAATTTTGAAAGTTTGATTGTATCCATAACTGGGGAACAAGGATTTTTCAAAATCGATTGATTGAAAAGACAAAATGTGTAATATGGCTACTGATTGCACACAAAAAATAACTATGCATGTTTAGACCTTTGCCTAGATTGATAAACTAATTTAATTCACAACCGTGTAAATATCTCAACTCAAATTAATATACTAGAATTTATAAGAAAGTATTAATAATAATCCAACTCTTTTCAGTTGAAATTAAATGATTTCCTAACACATTTACTTTTTGTTTAAGAAATTGAACAATTGGGGAAAAAATTCAATTTTTAAGAAGATAAAAACATAGTTGAATATAAGATTTAATTAATTTCATTTCAAATTTAAATACACTTATTTTAATGCTTTTAATTAGAATATTCTAAAACCACCTGCAGATCTGGTAGAAGTTGGATAAATTTCCCATCCTATTATGCTTTTTACAAGTTTTTTTTAGACATATTTCCCATGGAGATGGCAAGTATGAAAACACATTTTTCAAATTTATTATTATTCTGTTATAACTCAGTAATAATTATTAGCTACAGCCTACAGGTTAAAAAGGTTAAAATTAGTAGCGGATCTTTGATGCCAAACATTTGAGCCAGCAGGGAACCATGTGTGATATATAAATGGCGCACCACAGAGTTTGCTGATGATGTGTCACATCCAGGAGAATATAAATAGACTGCCTTTCGTTCTCCCTACACGCTGACCGCTAATTATTATTCTGCCACGGACAGTCATTCATTACAGGCGAAGCAACAAGCTCTAATAACCGGCCACCGGGGAAAAGTGCTCCCTGCTTTTGAAAAAAAACTGATAAAAAGAGCAAGCAGCGGCACGGAAGATTAGCAGAGTCAGCAATTAGGTATTACTGCGCACACTGAACAATTTGATTAAGCTGCTTTTAATAAAATTGCGTTTAAATTTTTTTCACACATGAAAAAAATTGCCAAAATATTTGCTTAGCCTACGAGCGTTACCAAGAATGGAATGGAATTATGGAGCTCCTTTGCTATAAATCAATTTTTTTTTAATAAATTTATATAAATATAAAAAAAGTAATCTACGTAGAGCAAAATAAGCCGTTGAAAAAAAGAGTTGAACGTTTCGTTACCACACTTTAAAAACGCAATACAGACAGGAACCGAAACAGGATAATGTAGAGCACCGCAGAAAAATAAATATTATATTATATATCCTGCGGCAAGCCATGTGGTTTTTTAAAGCCTGGCATAATTTAAATCATATTGTGCCTTTTTTAAATGGACTAAAAAATTTATTTTTGCAGACAATTCTCTTTATACTGAAGTTAAAAGCAATAATGAATTTACGAATTGAAAGTTTCAGAAGCAGCAAACTTTTTTAAGCTGTTGAACTTTCAAAATGTGACTTTTAACAAGCGCATTGAAAACGAGAGAAAAGTACAAGTTCTCGGCACATCAAGTTGGGAGCAAAACGAAACAATTTAATTGAGTTCTCTTGTCACAAGTTCTCTGGAGAGTCACATAATTTTTTGCGACATTTTCAAGTGGTATTCCAACCAAACTTGCGACTTTTGGTGCGTGCGCCAAAGTTGAGGCGCGCAGATGAGAGTGAGCAAGAAATTTTGAGAGAGACACGTCAGTGTGCAAGAGAGAGGAAGCAAAGAGCAAATTAGAAGCGGCCGTCAGAGAAGTGTTTCTGGCCGGCGGGCACAGATTTTCCCTTGGATTTTCGACGGCGCAGAGCATTGCTTGTTCCTCGCAAACTTTGATATTAATTGAACACAGCGACGACTTTAATAAGTTATCCCGCACGCGTGCATTAATTCGTCGGTAGATACAAACTCTCTACAACTAACCGTTGTTTACGCGCTGTGCTACAAGGGAATTATTAGATTATATACGCGTAATAAGTCATGGCCCCTAATTATTACATCTCTCTCTCTCCGCTCCCAAAGGAACAACAGCAATAGTAATTATTGCATCTCCCATAATGGCCGGCAAAAAGCGGCAAGCACCGCCATCAAACATTTAATAACGCCCGCGCGCTGTTTTCCGGGCTCGATTATTTCTTCGGCGTTTAATTTGAAACACGACGCCACCACTAATTATTTCCAGCCAATTATCATTTGCTGTAATTCCCCATGTGACGCAGCAACTGCGATTATTAAATAAAAAATTCACACTGCCCCGAAAATAGCATTCGAAATAAATGGTAGGTTTCATTTGGACTATTTTTATAGCTTTGAACTAAAATAAAATATTTTCGAAAAAATATACCTCTTGGAGTAGCAAGGCAAGCCGCAATTAGAGCACTCAGTACCAGGAGAGTCTTCATTTTTTAAACGTTCGTCTTTAGACGCTCAACAACAGAGAGTGACTAAACCTGTTATTCGAGATTCCTTTTTATATCTCCGCTTCATCACGATTCCACGCTAATGCGCGGAACGAGAGGCCCAATATCAGCGTCCAGAGATTAAATAATGTGGCAGGTGCTCAAAGGTCGCGTATACCTTGAATGACGCCTGCGATTTTTCGCATAAGAAAAAAAACTGAAATATAAAAAGCCTCAAGGGCAATGAAGAATTCGAAACTACGCAAGTCTCATTAATGAATATAAAAAAACACGAAAGTTAACTGTTTATAATGTGCGTTAAATTTTTAATTGCATGGAGTTTTTTATCCAGTGGCGTATGTTTGTTCAATGATACTTAATTTATAATAGTAATAGCTTATTTATCAGTTCAAAACGTAATAATGAAATAAAAGAATAAAAAGAAATTTTCTATTCAAAAGTTTTAAATCGCTGTAACAATATATTAAACGTTATTGATCAAAATAACATCTCGTCGCTTGTATATCTTGAGATTTATTTGCGGGTTTACCGCGGCGGCAGAGTCCATGTTAATGTTGGGCGTCGTTTCAGCAGACATCATCTGTTAGTTGCTCTCCTCTTTTTCCAATTTAAAATTTTTATATTGGTCGAGAAGAATATAATATAATGATAATAATTATAAAATCTAAAAAATTCGCTGCAATTGCAATAATTATCATAATGGTGATTAGAATTTTAAGTCGGCTTTTCCTCGATGTGTTTTGTGAGTTGTTTATTATTTAAATAAAAAAAACATCAAGGAAAAGCCGACTTTAAATTAAAATCACCATGAAACAACCTTAAATTGTGAATTTCTGCTACAAAATTATCAAAATATTAAAAAAAAAAATAATAATAATAATAATAAAATATTTGTTTCCATGGGATTAATTTTTAATGGGGCGTTGTTTTACTTTGTTTCTATTTATTTGTTTATTTTTTTAGCAACATTTAATTGAAAATGAATTTCTTTTGTTTAATTCGTAGTATTTAAAATCAAATTCTGTTCACAGAGATAAATTTGATTAAAATTAATTGAGGCTTAAACAAGTTTCATCACATTTTTATCAATATTAGTATTTTTGTTTGGACCAAAAGCTTTGGCAAAAGATTTAGATTAACGATGATCAATCAATCTCTCCGACCTTTGAAAGCAAGCCTTTTTTTCGATGAATAGACAGTTTTAATCTAAAAGTCCGCTGCACGTCAATATTTGCTTTTGGGCCTCGCGCGTTGATTACACGTGACTCGATGCATCTCCGAAGCAGCACAAACTAACAAGACATTGATTGTGAGACGTGCATTGAATTATGTAATGATGATATGTATACCTCGCCGTCGCGATTAGCAGACTATGGAAGCTTCTGGGCTGCCTTCCGATTTAACACGCGAGCATTATATATCAGGTATCAGAGAGGCGCTGCCTAGCAGATGTCTTCACGTCGTCGCTCATAATTATAGAGCTGACAAGTTCGCACGAATCATTAATTCACTTTGAACTTACCGCTCGTCGGCTTGGGCACTGATTATCGCTCGATCCCATTACCTGCCTGCAACTCGCGCGCTGCGCTCTTGACACGCCGCAAGTTGCGAATTCACCCCAACTGCGCAGTGCTGCAAATGTCAGAAGCAGCCGCCGAGAGAGTGAAACAAACTCGAGCCCTTTTGCACTTGAAATGATTGCTTGCTATTCGAATTTCGCAGAAAGGAACAATTTGGTTTTGTGTGTAGAGTTTTCACGAATAGAGTGGCCCTTGTCCTTGATGTGTCGAACTGCCCCGAATTCATTGATTTCTTTTGTTTCCTTTTCCGCATTTCCTGACGATCTGCTTGATATTTTTCTTGGGGATTTCTATCAAAATTGTGTGCGTCGGATCGGACAGAGCAAAGTAAAGCAAATTTATATACTAAAATAAATTTGTTTATTATTTAGTTTTGTGTATTATAATAATAAGAAAACAATAATGGCCATAAAATTTTCATTATTTTGTCTTATTATTGAGACAGATTAACCAAATTTAAATTAATTAGCGATTAATCGATTATGTCTGTCTTGATAATGATTGAGCTGAATTTTGAATTTTCTTTATCACTGACTGCATCACCAAATGCAATTTTAATCCTGCTGAGGTTACAATCAAGAGCAAAGATCTGCCAGCAATAAAAAATAGCCATAGAGATTGTCTAATTTTGACGCAGAGATTATAAATTTAATTAATCATAATTAGTATAAGCCTACAAATTGTTTTATCTTTATCATCCAACTACGCACGCAGGATAATCCTTTTGTTAGCTAATATTCTATCAACCGAGCAAACTGCTGTAGCGGCACATTAATTAATCGAGCGGATTTGATCTCAGGGTTACAATTGGTGAAGCCAAAATACTCAGTTGGCTCAAATGTATCTTCTTTGATGGCAATTGGTATAATTCTTAATAAATAATTTAAGCAGGTCACTAAATTGCAAATTTAATTTTCAATCAGGCGAATTTCCTCAAAATAGTTTTCTAGATCAGTTGAAGACTTTTTCAAAAAATTTTAATTATCTGAAAATAGAACAAACACTTTAATTTAAAGTTTTCATCGGATTTCTTATTATTTTGGTAACAAAATTCCTATCAACCTCAAAAATATACTTTGATAAAAATTATTGTGAACCAATATTTTAGGACCTTTCGCGGACAAATCATTGGTGAGAATTTTGTTTTAATTCTAAATTTGCTCAGAAGAATTATGTTGAATTTCAGGAATGTAAAAGAAATTTAAAAATTGTTGCAAAGAAAAAATAAAAAATGTAATGAACTTTGCAATATATAAGTCAAAATGTGGAAAACAAAATTAAAAAATGTGTCGCGTGTACATATTCATTTAAAAGCATAAAAACAAAGAGGACAAACAAGATTTTTTTGGCATTTTGGCAAGAAATTTTTGGTATAATGGATGCGAGGCTTTCTTTAGCCTCTAAATAATAACTTTAATTCAAAATTTCTTTTTTAGACCTCGCAATATATTGCAAACTAAATCTAATAATACTAATAATGCAAAATCTTTTATAATTGACATTTTTAAAATAATTATATAAATAAGTTGATTAAAAAATAATTAATTGCAATTTTTTAACAAAATCAAATTTATTCAGATTATTAATTGTTTATTTTAGTTTCTATTTAATAAAATATTTTTAGTTTTTATCAATAAATAATTTACTGATTAGAGTAGCACAATTATAATGTTGAATAGTTTTTACTACTTTATACTACTTCATAACATTATATTTTATTGTTTCTTTGGTTTTAATCTGAGCAGATAAACATGTAAAAAATTAAATCTGTGTTTGTCTATGCAACTCACTTAAATAGAATCCAAATTTTTTTACTCTACTATACAAAAAACGAGAGCTCAAAAGCAACAATATCTGCACCACTTGACTGGCATTTCAATCAACACTCTTTCACTTTTGCAATTGATACTCGCCGCATTACTAATGAGCGCTAAAACGGCGAGCGATATCCTTATGCAAATGCCTATGTTTTTGGATGCGGCACAAAATGAGCAGCAGCGGATTGTAATCAAATGCATTGCGGCTGCAGATCTAATATTAGATAAACAGTCGGCGCGCCTCCACGCCGCGCGTTTTGTGCTCTACACGTTGATACACACACACTCGTGCGTACGTACATGTTGCGATGAGGCACTTTGCATTAAACGCGCACCTTTGATGCAATAATAACACGGTTCACTTCTTGCTTTGTGCTGCGCAAACCTATCGGTACAAACGCGATACCAACCAACAACTCTACTCGCAGCAATATTGACACACACACAGGGATGGACGAGGGTGGGTTATTCAGCGCGGGGCGCATTATTATTGATGCCCTTTCTGATGATACCGCGCGCGCTGCCACCGAAATGCCCTGCTCGGCAAACAATAAACCGTGACCACTGCGCTCCTCGCTTATGTACATATTATCGCGTCCGACAATGGCGATGAGAGGCAACGAGTGCTACTTCGCTCGCGCACTTTGCCTTTGAGCTAGAATTTGCAGTGCAACTTTGCGGACGGCTTTGCTCTCTCCCGGGTTTGGGACAGACCGAGGTCGTTATCGTTGATTGGATTGCCGTCGCTGCCGCTCGCTGGTGCTGTGCTCACGGGAAGCAGCTTGATTAAGAATTGAACGTTTGCTCTGCTGGGCTCAATTATTATTGATATTCAGCCCAATATCCTCTACAGTTCCATTCGCAATATTATTCGTTAATATTAATTGTTGAAATATTTTATACGCCTCGTTGATATAGAAAGTTATATTTGCAATCTGTGAATCTGGTCCGCTTATCAAAAAGGGTGAGAAAATTGCCACTCAAAAAGAGTGAATAAACTCTTGATTCGTAATGAATTGAGATTCTGGCCAGGGATGAAGCATCTGTGTTGAGACAAGTTGAATGTTTTCAAAGGGGCTCAGAGGTCAAACATTGAGTGGCAATGAAAATTTTAGTGTGAATCCCATGAAAATCACGTCGCACAAATTATTTCTTTAATAAATTGCAATTTACAATAAGAGGCGAGTATCTATTTATTTTTAATTCACTAATTTTTCATAGTTGTTTCGTTAATTAAGAGAATTTTGGTATTTTCTTTCCTTATTGCTATATTTACTTTCATTCTCATGGTAATTGAATTGCGGAACTTTCAAAACTTCTTAGCAACGAACAGTCTTTGCCGGTGCGGTAATATTGCACGGTGGTGCATCAATCACGAATATAAGAATATGTGTTGACATTGATGAAGTCACCTGTATGGCCTTTTTACCTTCGGTCGCAAAATTCCCATTTGTCATTTTGCTCACATGACAGATGAGCTGTACAAACACTCACGCCAAGCCCTTTCGCTTGAGCCCAACTTTCATAATGGAAAAATGCGCGACTGAAAAATATTGCGTCGCCACTTCTGGAAGACCGCGATAAAAATGAAATCATGACTTTGGTAAAGTGAGTACAATATACACCAGCAAAATAGGACAGGTACTTTTTCCAAGGACATTTTC